TCTAGAGTTTTATCTTTTCCCTTCATGGAGGAGAAAACTGATTACTAGAGTTTAAGAGTTTCTCTGATGTAACGTTAACATTATCACAGTCATGATCTTAGTGGTAATAGCTGCAGTCACTAACGTGTTTTGAGTACTTATCATATGTCAGGCACTCTGCTAAGCTCTTTAATGTAATATGCCATTTATTCCTCATGACAACTCTATGAGGTAAGTACTGTTATTATCCTCACTTCACAGAATAAAAAAACTGAGACTCCGTGTGGAGAAGTAATTTGCCAAAGGCTACTCAACCAGTAAGTGGTCGAGCCAGGATCCCAGGCCAGGCTGCTGAGCTCCAAAGCTCCCCTCTGACCCACCAGGCTGCATGGCCATTGGACTCATCACCAAATTAGCGTGACCAGGTTTTAATGTGCCCACTACACATCCTGCCTCTCACGCTGCAGATCATTTCTTTACAATTACATTAGGATTCAATTCTGAGATTTTGTTCACAATTTGGTACCTGACCAGGATGACTTACACAATTTTCTGTCAAATTAAATGGAGCTGGACAATAAAAGTCCGCTGGAACTCCCAAACTACTGCCGCTTGGGCCATACCAATTTGGACATTTGTTTAGGACCTTTGCTCTGAGTTCCTTAAGGGCGGGGGGAACCTGGAGGCAGTTCCAGCTACAAACACATTTGTTTGCTAATGACTGTGACCATGATACTTGATGAAGGAGAGCTCTTTTCATTAGTCCAAGCCTTGCCAATATAAGCCCCTTCAAACCAAATCTGAAAAGGTGGTTCTGTGATCTTCTCACAAACAATGTCTTGCACAATTACTCCCAGGCAGCCGTCACAGTCTTACTAATCTCAAAGAAGGAGACATGTAAGGCCAAATGTAGCCTATTTTACATTTAAAGCCACTCTGAAAATACAAGGTGCTCATTAGCTGACCTAAAACTATGCCTCTTTAGTCATTGGTGAAGCATAGGCATATAGTTTTGGTCACGTGATGGACTTTACCCTTTACCCAAGAGGCAAAGATGACACAAACCAATGCACAAACCAGCAGGCACTGCATGAAAAGAAAGTCTCCCAGGGTCAGACAGAGCTATGGCTGCAGCACGGCAAGCACGAGAGAGAAATTTACATTTGATTAGATTTCAAGTGTCTCAGCTTCAAGGGTTTCTCCTGTAGTGTTAAATGAATGAAGCAGAAAACAAGTTAAGCATGCAGTGGATCCCTGACATCCAGGAGGGGCTTGCCTCTAGACTTCTGGGAGTGCCCACGTTGGCACTGCCACCAGAACATATACTGTCCTGTGTATATAGAGCAAGCCAATACATTTTTAACTTTATCTTTCCTCCCATTATAACTATTAAGTTTGGTTTTCCCTTTTGAGAGCACTTCTGGCTAGGAAACAAAGTATTTTATCACTTCAAAAAAAAAATGGCGGCGTAAATGACACCAGCAAAGAGCAACAAAGCTCTCTCGGGATGGAACTACTGGCCGCCAGGTAGACTCACTTGTTAGTCTTATAGTGTAAGGGACTCAAGCAAAATGTCTCAGCAAAATGTCAAGTCATGGACATTCTAGCTTGCTTTAGAATAGTAGACACCAAGAACACTAAGTCACTGATATCCAAGTGTCTATTGCATTCAGTATGATTTCACCTGTGTTATGAGCTATAGACAAAATAAAAAAATTAAGCAAAAGCATTAACAGGAGTTACCTGAGAGCACTAGAGATTATTAGTGAGTTTTATTTTTTTCATCATAGCTTTTTAACTCGTTAACATTAAGAATCAGAAAAAGAGCCCTAAAAACATAAAAATTATTTTGAAAAAAATAGGCTTGATGTTAATGATCTTTTTAGCCCCAAGAACCACTAGATGAACCAATGCACAGCCATGGAGGCCAGTGGATGTTGCTGGTGAGTGAAATGAGCAAGTGATGTTGTTCATTAGTTCAAATATATAACATTTACTTATTTTAACGCAAATTAATGACAACAGTGATGCTCTTCGGAAAACAAATCCTTAATCGGATATCAAGGATTATGGTTAATGGTTGTCATATCCAATTTGTTTTGGTTTTAGACTTGTAGTAATGAAAAAGTCTCATCATCACAGAGAAGTAGTTGCTAATGGTAACAGCTTTCACAGCTCACCTTGCAATCTTAGGAAATTTAATTTTCCAATTAAGCTGGCATAATTGAAGAAATGAATGAGAGTGCAAAAAGTATTTGCTTTGGCGGTACAATGTTTTTACAATTGTCACCACAATTTTTATAACTTAACTTAGTTCAAATAAATTAAAATTAATTTGACATGTTTAAATATGTTTGTAAGTTATTATTTAGATAGTGTAAGATATAGAAAATAAAATTTAACAAAGCAACTATGAGAAACAACAGGTCTGTAGGCAGTTTGAAAATCACTCACTTAATATAACGAATAATCTTCTTACCCCCATTTTGTGGGGGAGAAAACTGAGGCCCAGAGGGTAAAGTAATGAGCCGAGGGTTACAAACTTAATTATTTAGTAACCTTTTTGCTGTCCACGGTCCTTCCGATCTTGACAGGGAATTAATGTGGCTATATGAATGGAATTTGTTCTCAAATAATATACTAGTACAATAGGTCAACTCTAGTCTAAGGCACATAAAGCAAACAAATATCTCACTGGCTAGATAAAATAAAAAACTTGTGACTTTAAGATTGTCTATATTTTCCCTTTTGGGGGCTTCTAATTTTGCACACAAAGGCATTGGTTTAATATTATTGTGTCACTCCTGATTTTACTATCAGACAGTTAAGTCTATAGTTAGAAAACAGTTCCTTGAGGATGGATTCTGCTAAGTCTGATGGGAGGGTAAATCTCTTCTATAGTCTGTTTATTCTTACTCAGACCATCACTTCTTATTTTCTCTTTGAACTCAGAAAGGTTGCTTTGATTCCAGGCATGCAAATGAGTTCAGTGAGTTCCCCAGCAATCCTGAAGTATCTTAACCTTGGAGCAGCATATCTACATTTCCTAAAGCAGATGCCTCTTAAACCTCTCCTACTGCTAAGTATTAATTTTACAGCTTTGTTTAATTACTCCTGGAATAAAAAAAGCAGCTTCCTGGCATGTGCCTTCAACTTACTTTTTCTTTCTCCTTTTCTTTTTTAAATGGCCACCTGTCCCAACATTTATGCATGTGCTGTATTAGATGTTTTAAAATAACATAGGATGCAGAAAAAGCATACATTTCACGGGCAAACGTCTTTCGATATAGAATGACCTTTTGCTTTTGGATAATAAGACATAGGCCATGAATACGATTCCAACAGAGGAGCTAGGTAAAAATCAGAAGCCAGAAAAAATTGCATAAATTTATTCTGATTGTAAACATTTTCTTAAGATGGTTAACGTAATGCTTTTATTTTACAACTGTCTCCCCTCTTTGTTCAAGTTTTTTCCCAGTGGGGAAAAGCTTTATGTAGTCATGGGAGTGAATCCTTCGTTTCTCCTAGAAATACACATACACATTTTTATGGAAGTGTGTTTAAGATTTTCAAAGTCTCTCCATGGCTCAGCCAACTTGACTGAACTGGGTTAACTATGCTTTTCAATGGAATGGAATTTCTGGTATAGATATGGGTAAAGATGTTTAATAATAGAATGATTTTAAAATGGGATTGAGTTACATTAGGTATAATTATCTTGGCTAATAATACTTCATAGCTTAATATTTCCAAAATAAAGACGTCCAAGCAAAATTCTGACACCTCATTCAAATTTATACCATATACAATTTTTAATATAGAATTTTCTGGTGTAATATGAAGCTACACTAAGCTTCACCTGAATGATATAATTATAAAATACCTATTATTTCTGTTTCTTACATAAAAACCTGTCATTCTGAGTTTACTTTTATAAGCTAGGTATATGAAATAGGCAATTTCACTTCACATGTAGCATTAAGAATTCATGAATACGAGGCAGAAAGAGTCCAAGTAAACTTTAAAAAGTTAACAGCAGAAAGCAAACCTAAAATTGTATTGCCTCCAATTCAAAGACAGAATGATTTTCATCCACATTGCTCATGTAGTATTTTAAGTATTCAAAGTTTTGTTTTATGCACATATATTTGGTAAACTACGCTTTTAATAAGTAACAATGAGGTGTTTCTCAGAAATTGAAGGAGCTTGCAAAAGACTTCTTTGTCTTTTGGTTTTCATGATTAGTTTTGTAGAAGAGTTTTCTTATGTCCTTCCTCATATATGGGGAGTGAGTAAGCTCATAAAGAGATTTAACAGAAAGTGCTGCAACTATAAATACTACACCTATGACTTGCACTTCTGTGACTACTCCTCATCTGAGATGTTTTATTGGTCAGTCTGATTCCTGATCCTGCAAGTAATTGAGGGCCAATTATGGTTTCCAAAAAGCCAACAGTGATATGTGACAGCATCAAGTGTCTCTTTTAAGCTACTAATTAAAAAGACCTTTGAAAATATTTTACTATTGGAAAGAAGTCCTGCTTCCTCTTTAATAAGGGCTGAGTTTATTCAAATATAGAACTGTTCTAAGACTGGTTTTGAGTCCAGTTAATCAGTATGGAAAATGGGTCAGTGGGGACCCTGAATGGGTCTGCTGTGATCATGTCACTGACTAGGTAACAGATTTGAAATGGAAAGAATCCTGAGAACATTGTGCCATCACATTTGTTAGGGCCACTGACCTGGACCTTGTTAAGGAGAGAAACAAGTAACCATGATGAACAAAAAACCAGAAGAGAAAATGACTGTGAGTGCTTCACGTGTAGCTTTATGAATGGAAAATCTGTAGAACATGGGATGGTATCATAGCAGCAAGAACAAGGGGCATGGACACTAATAACACCTGGTTAGGAATGGATACTGGACAGCAACATTTACTTATTTTTAATGAAAACATCTTAATCTAGGAAACTTATTTGAAACTTTATGCTTATAATAGATGAACTGGTAAATAGACTGACCTGGCTGGACAAGGATCCAAGTTGCACTCCTGAAGTTTGGGCTTGGGTTTGATGTTCTCTGGGTAATAGTGACAGTACTGATCGGCAACCACGCGGTTGCTCCGAAGATCGTAACACTCAGCCGATGTCAGCTGGTAACCTGCAGTATCAAACCATACGGGCGAGTTTAAAGGCACAGGTCAATATGATATGTTTCTTCATGCTTTTTAGCCATCCTCACATTAAGGAAATTCTTCCCTGATGTGCCAGTCATTTCCAGGACAAAAGACAGAGAAATGGAAGGCTCATTAACTTTTAATAGTTAAATCAGATTATTCAACAAATATTTGTGGTGTGCTTACTCTGTTCTAGGCACTGTTCTAATTTCTAGACATACACAAGTGAACAAGTTGGACTAAGTCTCTACATTCACAGAGCTTACATTATGGTAAATGGAGACATAAAGAGAAAGAAGAAGAAGGGGGAGGGAGTAAAGAAAGAAGTGTAAGATAAAGTGGCTATAACAAGAATAAAAATGGTATAAAGTGATAAAAAAAATAGTTAAATCATACTGTAGTTCCTAACCTACATGAGGGCATAAACTAGTTTACAAGACTCTGTCATAAGAACTATTATTGTTTATTTGTTTCACATAATCTAAAAGTCTAACACAGATTCTGTATCCCAAAGAGATCATCAGTATTTATTTACCAACCACCTCATGCAAGGATGCAAAATTGGCTCTGTTGTTCCTGGAGCACCAGAGAGAAAAACTCCCAGATAAATAAATAAATAAACCCCAATACCGCTCCCCTTGTCAACGGGGGACAATGGGAGATAGCACGGGATCAGGTCCTGCCAGCTGCCTGACATTATTTTTGCCTGATTTCAATCTGGCAGGGTTAAACGGAGTAAATGGATGATTAAATAACTTTAACAGTAGCCATTGTGAATTCCAAGGTTTCCTGCAGATAAAACAAGAAGCCTCCTACTGTATAATTTTTGCTTCACCCCAAATCCTTTGTCATTTCTCTTTAAGTTTCTAGCCAATATTTCTTAGGTTCCATGTACAAATTTCCACTCTTAGAGAATCCTCTTGAAAAAAAAGTGGTGCAGAATATTACTTAATTCTATTGATAACGTGTTTTACCTTTTTTAAACCTGCCTCTTTCTTGTCCTATGGATTTCTGGTATGGTTCTGATGAGGACTTAGATTCTTGGGGTGAAAAATAAATGTACATAGAGAATTTTAAAAAATTAGACTTTTTTTTCATCATTCTAACCCTAACTAACTCGAAAATATATTCTCTCTGGCAGTGGTTGAATATTGTTGTTACTAAATACATGTTAGGAAAGCAGATTTAGAGTACTTAAAAGTCTTGCAAAATTTTTTAGGAAATCAGACAGGTTTATAAACCAGAATTTCTGGCTTGAGGCTTTTTCTCAGACCACCCACAAAAATTAATTGTTCATTTAAGACCTAAAAAAAGATCTTTTAACAATTTTACTGTAAAGATGAAAAGCACTTTAATTTAATGGGTACGAGCACATGTTCCATTTAATCTTTTGTTTTATAAGAAAAATCAAAGAGCAAAATTTTATTTTATGCAAGTAAATATATCTTTAGTTGTCAATTATATTATACTCAAAAGCTGATAAGTTTATGACAAGATAATCATTTTATAATTTTTCATAAAATAATTTCTATTCAAGTACAGACTTTATCACATAGTGAGGTGTGGGTACAAGCAAAAAACAATTTATAAATCTGAGATTATGATTTTTAAAAATTATAATTTGTCAGCATAAAATGTTGCTGTGAAGCTTTCTAGAGTATATGAAATAGAAGTTTAGATTAAAAATTAAATAAATGACCAAAATCGTCAGATAATTGTATTTTCTAAAGTTTCAGAAGGTACTTGGAATAGCAATTCTTCACACTTAGCACAATGGTTAACCAGTTGAATCTGGAACCAGAAACATAAAAGGCAATTTAGAGATCATTTCTTAAGTAATTTTAAAACTGGTCCATGAAGGCTGGTTTCTATATTCCTCACATCTTTGCTCTGAGCAGTAGGTATTCCTTTTACTTCCAAGTAAGATTTCTTTTTTGTAGAAGGCTTTGATAGTTCAAAACATCTGAAAACCACTGATGGTTCTACTTCTTCACTTAGATGTGAAGAAAATAGGCCAAAGGGCTGGAATATACATCAATCTAACATTCATTGACTCATATAGGGAGCCATTGTCAAGGTTACTCCAAAAGCAGCTTATATGAAACGCATAGTGGGCATATTATTGAATTGCTACTTCTCTAAAAACACGGTGTAATTTAAAAAGAAAAAAGAAATTCCTGTGATTTCTTTACTTGAAACCACTCCCTATGTTAGTCATTACCAGGTGAATCAAAATAACATATTCCCACGAAACATCAACAAAATTGGCAGTTATTTTTTAAACCAAGTAATTTTCTATTCAGGGCATATAGAGGAACTGCAAACACTATTTTATTAAAATTCTTAAGATGTTGAGAGAATAGTTCTTTAATAATCAAGTTAAAAGCACTTTATGTATTTTTGATTAATTGCTTTTAAACTAAAATTTAACTTTGCTCTATGGAACCTCACGTTCAGCGATTTGTTCACATTATGTAGACGTAGATAACACAGACAAAGATAAATTATGTATGTTAACTGGTTTACAAAAATTAATGGATAGTCATTTGTCTTCATTTTGAGGTACCATCCTTCTTTGCTCTTGTCAAAATAATCTAGCGATACCTCTGTGGATTAGTTACTTAAAGCCAGCCAATTAACAGGCTTCCATGAAGCTGGAGCCAGAATATATTTGATGTGCTCATTTTTAAAGGAATATATATATATATATATATATATATATATATATATATACAATTTTACATCCATTAAATTACCAAAGCTTATAAAGTGATAATCCACAAATGGCTGGCTCAGTTGGAAATGGAACTAAGATATTCTGGAAAGAATTTTGGTAATACATGCCAATGGCCACAAAAATTCTGAAATACACTCTGGAGAATTTATTTCAAGGAAATAATTTCAAAGGAGAAAAATACTTCGGTATCAAGTTATCCATCACATTATAATAGAGAATTTTAAATGAACTAAATGCTCTTCTAAAGGGATATGGCTAAATCAATTATGAAATAATTCAAAGAAATTATTATGTAACCTGTATAATAATGAAGAGCAGAAAAAGGGGGAAAACCTTTTCTAGTGGCACAAAATGCTGTCCACACTACAGATGTGATGGGGCAGGGACAGACATTCATTTGGTGACTTTTTAAAAGAGATGTGTTTTTGTGAATAAACTAGAGGCCTGGTGCATGAATTTGTGCATGGGTGGCATCCCTCCACTTGTGATTGGGGCTGATCAGGGCCGTCTTGAGTCCTGATCAGGGCCAATCAGGGCCGGTGGCCAGGGAGGGACCACGGGAGGGCTCCAGGGTGTGTCTGGCCCCATCTTGCCCGGTCCCGATCAGGTGGACCCCAGCAGGAAGCTAACCTACCAGTTGGAGCATCTGCCCCCTGGTGGTCAGTGCACGTCAGAGTGACTGGTCAGTCGACCACTTGGTCAGACACTTAGCATATTAGGCTTCTATATATATAGATAAGGCAGTGACATTCCCTTTTACTGCACAGATTAAGGGGTAGAGCTGAAAAATAACTGAACCAAAGTCTGCAGTACAGTGATTTTTTCCCTCCTGGTAATAAACTACTTCCTTTAATTAAATTAATCTCTGATTCTTTTTGGACACATCATGCTATAAAATAGGCCATTACAAATACTCTTCACTTGATTCCCGAATAAATAAATTCACTTCAACCAGATGAATAGTTTTTCCTCAAATGAAAAAATCGCCTCCAGACCACACTGTTGCCAAGCTCTGACACTTTTTGTCCTGGCCTTCCATGGACTCAAGGAAAGGAGTAAAGACAATTTCCTCTAATGGGACTCCATAGACAGAAACTAGAGCATCTGCCTTATGGGAGGGCTTCAGGATTTGGCCTCATTCAGAAGAAAGGATCTGACCCCACAGCACTAAATTTCTTCTATGCTGAAGTGACTCTACTCTTACAATAGCCAAGTCTTCCCTCTTAGACGCCAACAGACCCTAGGCTAAATGAACAACACTGTTACCTCCTCCACACGTTGCTGAGCAAGGAAAGAAATCCGTCTCCCTCCATCGGTGGATGATGGGCTGATAGAAGGTGAACTGGACTGTGCTGTTAGCAGGCCCCGAGTTGTGGATCTGTAGGAGACAACAGCAAAGTAGAGGAGTTAGTGTGACAGGTATGTGCTTTCTGGGTCCCTTGCCACTCTAAACAAGGAAATGTGGTAGTGCTGATGGCCTTAGGCTGTGTGAAGGGTTGTGTTGGGAGAGAAGTGGCAACAGCTGTATCACCCGTCTTACCATTTAACCAGAGAATGCTTCTTGCATATACCTACTGTCACTATCATCACTTTCCCAGTTTTGTTGTAATTCCTGTAGGATCTTATCCAAAGCTAATTAGTCCCTCACCCTCTTTTATTTCCATCCTCTCTGGTATAATGGGTAAAACTATGTGGATTTTAAAATGTAAGATCAGAAAGAGACAATTTGTTCTAAGAAAATTTTAAATGCCATTTGCTGGAAAAAAAAAGAAAAAAAAGAGAAAGATACTATCTTTGGTTAAGAAAAATCAGAGTTAAAGAACTAAGTAGCTCTTCCCACTCAGAGACATACATGGAGTTTCCTGACAACTCGATGATTTATATATTTTAATGTGCAAAGTTACCAATTGGAAGTTTGCTAAAATGCAAATTCCTGGGCTCAAGCCCAGAGATCCAGGCAATTCGAATGTAGCATAGTCCAAGAACCAAACTTTGAAAAACACCAATTTACAGAATTGAAAGCAAATATATCAAATAAAACATGTGCTTATGGAAATGACAATTCCTTTGTGTGTTTTTTTAAAGAGAGGATATGAGGCAATAATTCTTTAATGGTTCTTAAAAGTACAAGGTTGAGAGAAAATACTCAAACTGAAAGAGAAAAAGGTACCCAACAGGAATGATGCCTTGATTTGGTGAAGACAGAATGACATATGACACAACACTTAGATAGCTCAGCTAGGGCAAGGCTTGGACTGATTATTATACTAAAGGAAGTTCTATGAACAACTGAGAGGACCACCTCTTACTCCAACTCCCTTACAGGAATGAGAAGTGTCATCAGGTGAATCCTGTGGCCAAAGTCTTTGTCAATATTTCCAAGGCTTACTGCCTCGTCTCTCAGATAGGTGGATAGATTCGGCCTTCAGATTCTTAAAAAAGAGAGCCTTATTCTTCTGCTACCGAATTTAACAACTGGATTAAACATCTAGGATGCAGAGGATAACAGAAACACTGAAGAAACAGGGAATAGGTCCTGACCCTCAGATGGGTGTTTGGCGTTTTGATGAGCATATGGGAATATTCCTCAGAAAATCTGGAAGAGCTGGAAAGGAGAAAGAAGAAAGAGAGAAAAGCTATCATTTATCTCATGTCATGCTGGGATTCTGACCCATGGTGCATCCAGGTCTTTCCTGATTAGAATAAACAGTGATACAATTCCCTACTTTAAAGCAAAAACAGCTGAAGCAATACGACATCTTTCACAAATGGGGAGCATGGCCTACAGATGAATATTTTTCAGTCCCAGTGTGTCAAATACAGGATATTTAATTGCTTGCTTAGGGATGTAGTATTAATCACATTCTTTGGAAAGTTTTTTTATTTTTTAACCTCACAAAAGCCTATAGCTCTCTTGGGATGTGTGGTTATCATGCTGGAAAGCTATTAGAAGAAGGCTCTGATTTGAACAAAAGCTCCATGAAAAATACTAAAAAGGCCAGAAAATCTGTTTAGATCCTGAGAGATGAATTGTTTTGCAAGGGTCCCTTTTGGGATGCTAGAGATTAAACTGAGTCCTGGGGAAGTGGGGGGTGGGGTGGGGAATCAAAATTAGCAGAATATAACATCAAGGTACTTGGACACTTTGATGTCATGGTGTCAAGGCGATATGGTGTCAAGCAAGAGGGTTACTAAACACCATGTTGAAGGGGAAAAAAAACAGCTTAGGAAGAATATTGTTCTTAATGAATTCAATGAGAGCGACGTGTAATGACGACAAATGCTGAGACTCTATGTCCACGTTTGAGAAGAGACTGATAACTGGATTGAACACCTAGGACGCAGAGGATAACAGGAACATGGAAGAAATAGGCAATAGGTTCCACCCCTAGATGGGTATTTTGTTTATTTTCATTGATAACATTCCTGCTTCTCCCTTCTCTGTCATTGAGTAGCTACAATTCCCACAGCAATCAGCACTAAATACGGTCCTACTTTGTGCAGGATACATTTTATTTATATTAAATCTAATCTTAAAACTCCTCCTGCATTATCTTCCACATTAGCATTACAGTGAGAGAATGGAGGCCCAGAGAGGTTAAGTAACTTTGTCAAGGCTACCCAGCTAGGAAAAAACAGAGCTGGGGTTTGAATTCAGGTGTGCCTGGTTCTAAAGCTGCCATTCTTTTCATGGAATCAAGCAATCTTTGTTAGTGCTGTGAAGATATAAGTATTTATCTTTAGCAGTATTCGTGTACCTCTCTTCTCAGTATCTTCTTAATTTTTCATTTTCAAGTAGGAAAAAATGTTTAAAATAAAAAGAAGAGGCTAACCTGATGTCTAAGTTTGATGGCCTAACTGTTGCTTACAGAGATGAACCACTGTGTTCCTTTTTGGTTTTATTAATTCTGGGCTGCTGGGATCACTGTTATCATCTGCTCTGAAGCATCATCAACCCTAAATCCTTAAAACTCAGGCCCTAGTATGAACGCTTCAGTGTGACACATTAGAATTTTGTTTAAGGGAGCTAAATACATCTGGCACGTGTAATTTTGACCTCCTTAAGTTAATAAGCAAAAAGAATGTCCTGAACCATACTTTTCTTCCTATAATTACAATGATTCGGTGTTTCAAATTCAATTTAATGACTTCTCACACTGAAAGTAAAGGAGACAAAACTGGACACTTGCCATAGCGACTGATTGCACTGTCATAATAGAGCTGCAGGGCAGTACAAATGGCATGTGGGTAGCAGTTGAGCTTTAAGTCCATGTAAAATCAAAAGAATTAGGAGAAATTTCAAATACACGAAAGGCATCAAATACACAAAGGCTCTCCCAGATGAAGCACTGTGAAATGCCATACCTCTTGCTTCTCATTTGGGAAGAGGGTTAGTTGTGAGCCTTGGAATGTTCCTCAACTAGGTTCTTTTCTTTCTATGACGTTGTAGGAAATTTTTCCCTCCAGACAGGTGAGCAGGGGGACTGGCATTCAGGAGTCCCCCACCCACCTTGGCTGCAATTGAGTTGCTGCTCTGGCCTGAGGAGAGGAGGACAAAAGGGAGCTGTTCCCATGAGCCTCTGAGCTGGAACCCACAATGGCATTCAACTTGGTCACACCGGTCTCACGGCAGCCAGGGGTGTCATGACCAGGCTGTGCTTGAAAGTGGTAGAAATACATCAATATGCCTGCTCAGAAGGGAATAACATGGAAAATAGGAAAAATCTATCTTTTCAATGTTTCAGTCTATTATGTTCAATTTTGGACTGTTCTGGTGGTTGATGGTGATAGTGAATCCTCAAGGAACTGTTAAAAATACTTTAAAATGCTTTTCTGGGCTTTCAAAATATGCAACAAGATATTCCTTATATCACTTAAATGTTTACAAGCACTTGATATCGATATAATTGTTATTTCATTGCCTTTCTCCTCCATATGCTATAAACACTATGAAGGCAGGTGCCAATTATCTTGCTCATCACTCTTTCTTTAGCATCATCTACAACGTTTGGCACATAGTAAGTAACCAATCAATTGCCCCATACTGTAAAAGAATGCATGAATGAACAAACAAATGAATTATATAATGATCATGATTGTTTCAGATACTATTTGTGGCAAATTCTTAGAATAATTATCATCTTTATATGTGTATAACTACCAGTTTTCTTGAAGATGTTATTGATAATTTCTTTTTTTAAAAATATATTTTATTGATTTTTTACAGAGAGGAAGGGAGAGGGATAGAGAGTTAGAAACATTGATGAGAGAGAAACATCGATCAGCTGCCTCCTGCACAGCCCCTATTGGGGATGTGCCTGCAACTGAGCTATATGCCCTTGGGACCCTTCAGTTCCCACTGTCCTTTGATAATACAGTAGTATAGTAGAGTGGAAAGGGAATTATTATTGGAGTGATATATAAATTCAATCATTCCATTGTTTGAAATACCTGACAGTTTCAACAATTGGAAATACTGACTAAAACTAGGGTTTATTCAGTAAAAATAATAAAAAATTGTTACCATCCAACTTTACTTTTACACTTCTTATAGAATTTTCTAGTCCCCCTAGATTTCCAGACCTCAATATTGGGAGATACTAGTACAGCAGTTCAGCCATAGTTCCCTGGGTCAAGGTTGCATGAGAGATGTCAGTTATGGATTTACTACTGCCCACAGCCCTTGAGTAGGGCAGCAGACCAGAGATGCCTCCATGGGCATAATGGTTATAATGTTGGCTACAAAGGCTTCCTTAATCACATTAGCCTGTAGCAAGTATCTACAGCTTTTATTGTGCCCATTTTATTTTAGTACTTCATTATATGCATCACTATTTCAACATTTTCTATCCAGTGTGTTATCTCTCAAATGACATTATAACCTAGGAAAGGGCAGCTACCACGTCTGGGTGTGTAATTATGTACAGGGTCATGCTCAAGGATGTCCAGAAAGAAATATGAAGGCATCATCTCTAATACTGCAAATGGAAACCATGGTATTTCTAGTTCCTAGACTACTCAAACAAGCTTCTTGGACTGCAATTAGAATGATGTCAACCTTCCTAACCCAAATTCTTCAACTATAAAAATGTAATGCATTTAGTAAATTATTCTCTATAGGAAGTAACTGGTCTCTAGTTTTCAGTGCATGAACTGTGAGTCAGTGTTCTTAGTTCTAAGTGCACTTATTGTTTACTATTCTACTGTGTATTTCTGCCCTTTTGGTGGCTTGGGCACCTCATCAGTCTCTTTTCTATCTATCTAATATGGATTTCTTCTTACATTTTAAAAATGAGCACACACTGACATGAATAAATATAACTAAGTTTCTTGTACAAGTAGAGCTAAGTTGGAAGTTCTAATCCTATATAATAAAAGGCTAATATGCAAACTGTCCCCTCAACCAGGAGTTCGACTAGGAGTTTGACCAGGGGGCAGGCCAGCCAGCCAACCTGCTGCATCCCCTTCCCCAGCCATGCACAAATTCGTGCACCGGGCCTCTAGTAAAGAATAAACCATAACTAAAAAAGACCATCTAGTACAGCCGTGGGCAAACTACGGCCCGCGGGCCGGATCCGGCCCATTTGAAATGAATAAAACTAAAAAAAAAAAAGACCGTACCCTTTTATGTAATGATGTTTACTTTGAATTTATATTAGTTCACACAAACACTCCATCCATGCTTTTGTTCCGGCCCTCCGGTCCAGTTTAAGAACCCATTGTGGCCCTCGAGTCAAAAAGTTTGCCCACCCCTGATCTAGTATCTGGGAAAGTCATTATCTTCTATTGAGTCTGCAGCTTGAGAAAGGATGCCAATGGCATGGTAGGAGGAAGGGGATATTAAGCCAGGCAGTCATCCAGCCAATAGCCAATTGCCCCTGACACTTACTGTCACAGCCAGTCTGCTCCTACATCCGTCTTAATAGCTACACCTGCCAAGTTGTTCCTGGGTATACCAGTTATTTGTAAATTGACCATCTTCAGAAAAGCAGCTTTCTGAGTATACAGTGCAGACTATTGTGATAAGTTGGATCAGAAGTTAAAGCATTTAAAAAAAGATGGAAAGGCAGTAATTTGGATCTATCTGCTGTTATACACACTATCTGATTCAGTTCCTCACAAAGACTATGGGGGAGTATTTTATTACCATTTTTCAAATGAGTAAACAGGCTCAGGAAGGTAAAATAATGCACTGAGGTTACATATACAGTGAGCAGGAGGCTATACCAAACTCTAGAGAGCGTATCTTTTGTACCACTCTACACTAGCATTGCCAAAATGTTGTACAACCAATGTATAATTTTTAAATTTTTGGAAGATATGAGTCCCTAGGAAGCAAGGTGATAATTCAGTCTGGTTTTAATCTTTAAAGGAGATTTCAAAACATAACTTTGGAACCAATGGCAATATATAATGATTTTCACTGTGAGAAAATTTTACTGCCATGCAAAAAATGTTTTTTTCTTCTTGTAAATAAACAAAATTTGTGTTTTGGCAATAAGTTCCCATAAAGATGTTGACAAATAACCATTTCCATTTTGATTCCTGTGTATCTCATTCAAAAAGGAAGTCATTGCTTAAGTTAATATATAATGCAAAAGAGACTACACTTTGAATGATACTGAGGATGAATGACAAATTATGTGTATAATTTCTAAGCACCTAAATCATGAAAAATGATAAAAAATCAAATGGTAACTTTTTATTTTCAGCTATTTCTGAGGGAAAATTAGGGAAGAAAAATTGCTTCATTATGAATCACTGGGAAAAAAGTAATTTTCTTCTTTTCTCTATATCTTCTTAAATTATATGACTCATTTTCAAGTTTGAATAAACTGATTTTAAAAATTACATAATCTATTTTAGAATAACTTGACATTTATTTGATCTTGATATTTTCTAATGAAACCTAAATTTCCTCTCAATTGCAACCTGAAGCTACATCACAAAATAGGATATATAATGCAAAAATCGATGAAATGACAGCTTAGCTTGTTTCTGAATAAAAACATTTACAGATGGTAGGCATCTAGAAAGCATCAAAACTTCTTTAAAGTCCATTTTTTTCTTAAATATGTGTATTTACATGTAGAAGAAAAAAATAGTCTTAGAAACAACAGAGAATACTGAAAAGAGTTCTGGGCCAGAAGAAAAGAGGTTATTTTTGGTTGTGGTTTGTCATCGGGGTGAGCTTGGTCCTGTCACTCAACTTCCCTAAAGCTCAGTTTCCTTGTAGGTAACATGAAGATGTCAGCATCTGTCTCACTTGAGCAACTGCCATGTGGCTAAAGTCCTTTATTTATCCAACACTTCCTAGGGTTTGTTGTGTTTTCTTATGGAGATATGAACACAAATATGATTTAGTTTCTGGCCCTCAAGGAATACAAAGTTGGAAGATGTAATGTCAACAGGAATGTTGGGTTGTATCAGAATGCTTCTGGATGGAGAAAATACTGAAGAACAGTTGTAAGTTAGTGAAGTGAATGGAAAAAGAAAAGATAATAGCATTTAGACAGAGGGAACAGCATTATGCAAAGGTAATCAGTTATGGGATTGCAAGATTTGGGGACCTGTGAGCCATTCAGTTGGTTGAAACTGAAGAGGAAAACTCACAGGTGAGGTTGGAAGGGTAGATGAACCCAGATTATTGAGATTTATACATGCTATGCTATGGGTCTGCATTTTAACCCCAAAGCAATGGGGGTGGGGGGTGGGGGTGGTATGGAGCAATGCAGCATTATGAAGAGAGGGGTTCCAGTTTTAGAAAACTCACTTTGAAAGCAACATGGCTAATGGATCAGAGGCTGGAAACTAATTCAGAGTCAATGATATTAGTTCAGGTGAGAAATTCAAAGGACTAAAGAAGGAGAAGAAAGAATAGTTTTAAAGGATGATATAGAGGTAGAACTGACAAAGTGTAATGTCTAATGAGGGGTCTAGGAGATGGGGAAATTCATGTGAATCAAAGTTTTCCGAGTCAGCTGGGTAAACACTGTATTATTTAAGATAAGAAATCGAGAAGATAGAGCAGGATTTGGGGATAGACGGGTCCAATTTTGGACATGTTGAGCTCATTGTCTCTGTTGGACATCCAAGTGGTGATGTGCAGAAGGCAGCTGGATATATGAAATGCATTCAACAATGCCATGAACTATTCAAATGTGCATATTACTTGAATCATATTCTATACTTTCAGTATGTGTATTAACTCTCCAATGCCTCTAGGGAAATTAGCATAAATGGTTTATTCAACAGTACTCTAAGAGCTTCAAAATATAAAGATATTTCTCCATTTTTTACAGTACAGACATACCTCGTTCTATTGCGCCTCGCTTTATTATGCTTCACAGGTGTTGCGTTTTTTACAAATGGGAGGCAAGACCCTCCACCAGCGAAAGGATTATGACTTTATTGTGATACTTATTTTATTGCAGTGGTCTGGATCTGAAACTGCAATATCTCTGAGGTATGCCTGTATTTGCTTGTTTAACTACCTACAGCATCATTTCTATTGTGAGCTATCTCTCATGGTTTATAGCTTCTTGCTCAAGTTCATGTGGCTGGCAGGTGGACTGGATTTAAAAAAGCTACCATGCAGATGGGGGCAGTACAGTACTCTGGAACCCTTCTTCCATCCAACCTCACTGCCTATCACATTTTCCTATATGCATTCTTACTTTCAGCTGCCCTGGGGTCATGAAGCCTTAGCTTAAATCAAATGTCCTCTGGCTCCAGGTCCCATGATGAAAAATTTATGGAGTCCTGGACACATTACAAGTTTTACAGCTTTACAGCTGAAATCCTTCAGGTCCTTCTGACCTACTGAAGGAAAAAATATGTTTTATTTTATTGTGATTCCCAAATGTTCTTCTAGTGTGTACATTTTTTCTTACAGAATGTGTATGTTGCTTCCAGCAATGTGTTTTATATTACCTGCAAGAGTAGGGAAGCTCTGATAGAAGGAAACAACCTCGTCTTGTTGCCAGTACAAGGGAAAACAGAACTTGCAATTGGAAGGAAGCATGACCAAGTCTATGGATCATTAGTTTGTCTCTCTCTTTGACTAAGAATACTTTATATGAGTCAGTGACTATACCCTAACTTGTTTTAAAAACAGTTTGTATCCCCCAACTAATGATGTATTGGCTTTGTGAGTGGGGTGTTTTTATTAAAACACACACACCCCCACACACACACACAATTTTCTTAGGACTTTAAAAAAATCATATGTTCTTGTAAAGTCCAGGATGTAGCTCAACACCCTTGAATTAAACATCTCTTGGATAATTGGCTTTCCAAATCTCTGTCAAAGTCTACAGCTCTCTCTTCAGGAGATTGTAAACATCATCAGTTGGGAGGGGGCTTGAACACAAGATACCTAAATGGGCTTACCTTGACAATGAAATCTGCGGTGAGCGGTCCAGCGATACTCAGGTTCTCTTTGCCTGGATATTTCTGGAATTCCACACTAGAATTGTCCACAAGAAAGATGCCTGGAGAGCTGAGACTGTTTTCACCTTTAGCCCCCTGTAGGGTTTTGGTTTCTAGATCTACAGAATCAAACACATGAAGAGAAAGATGTTCCCAAGGTTGCAGCAGACCTCATGCAAGTACTTTCCATGGAACAGAGCCTAGAGCTATATAAGGGGAAGTATCATTCTTTATATGGCTGACACAATTACAATTAGGATATAAACAAAATATATAGGCACACTGGATCACATAAGAGTTTATGCTGCAAATGAAATTATTTTAAAACTCATTATCCAAACATTCAAGTCTCCCTCCAAAAAAATCTTTGATTCCCTGGATGACCTCATTTGGGCACTCCACCTGATCACAATCCTATTCCTTTGACTAAACCATCTTCCATACATATTCATTGAGTTCAGTATTCACAGCCCTCAGCCTAGAATACCCTACCACTTTCCTTTTTACTCTATGAGATCCAGGGTGCCTCACTGAACTCCTTCAGTACCTGTGTGACTTTATATTCATGAATTACCTTGTATTTATTTATACTTTCTGGTTATTTATTTTATGTGTGCTATCTTTAAAAATGAAGAAAGTCTAGTGACTTAAGGACAGAGAACTAACTGTCCATGTTGTTTCTCTTTCTTTTTAAAATCCTTCTTGGTACTTCATTTAGTATTATGTGCATATATGATCTTTCGTAAGAGCTTAGGACAGAAAGAAGAACTTCTTGATTCCTGGAACATTCCAAGCTGAATCTGGCCAATGACCAAGTCTGTGAATCATGTTTTCTTGTAGGAAATTAAAGCCTGCTGGGAGGATGATAATTATGACATGTATTTCAGAGCAGGGGAAGTTCTTATGTGATTGAGAGGGATTTAGAATAACTGCCCGCTGCATAAGGGAATGTAGATAGGCTAAATCTAACAAGGACCCTTGGTTTGGGCAGGGGTTCTTTAGAAGAAAGATGGGGAGCCTGAGTGAAACTCTAGGTCTTCTACCCTAGATTCAATCAGACCGATTCCCTTCTTAAATGTTTTACAGATTGGGGTTCTGTGGTTAAGAAAAATCTTAAGGTGTCTGGATGTACTAAAGTGTCTAAAGTATTTATACTAAATTCTTCTAGATGTTGTTTAAGTCAAGTTCTGTACTGCAAGGAATACCAATAGGGGGAAATGTTGGTGTCCAATTAAATGCCCATGACCCTCAGGTGAAGTCTGTGTAGCCCTTCTCTGGGAGTAGGTCAGATTGCCCTCCCCTATCCCAGCACAGAGAGGCCCTCCCAGAAGAACATAAGGCACCCAACAAAATATTCGAGTGTAGGAACTACAGTTGTCATCAGAGGAGAGTAATAGCACTGCATCTCCTTCCTCTAGCCTTCATTCTTCCAGCTGCCTTACATGTGTTTACATGCATTTATGGAGATATCTCCAGGATGTAAGTTCATTTAGTTTTGGAAAAATCTTGGAGTTCTAAGCCTAATGTGAGCATCTGGTTCAATTTTATCACCAGGCCTCCTAGTAACCATCTCAAGGTATTCTGATGAAAGATGAGCTGGACCAGACCAGACTGCCTAGTCTTGTTCTAGTTTGGCCCTAAATTTTTAAGGTTGATCTCATATTGGAGCAGCTGCTGGGAGTGAAAGGCAAAGGGTTGCAAGAGAAATAGGGCATCATTTATTCACATATTCATTCTGAATTATATTCCAAATACAAAACAAAGCAAAAACTTTGTTAGTTATACATATGTTATCAACAGTATATCGACTGGGGGGGGGAATTAATGAAGATTCCATTTTGCTTTTCATCATCCATAAATATCATTCGCAATTTTTATCTACCAAATCCTTGGGACAATTAAAGCAAAGAAGGCCAATTCATCAGCTTCCTAGTGATCACATAATTAGGGAATTTGGGAGGCTAATACATTTATAAAAATAAAATTTCCTCTTATATCTATATCCCTTTGGGTTCTTTCTTCCACAGTGAGGAGTCAGTCCCCAGGTGGGTGATGGTCTTGGTCTGATGGATTTTTGCCTATCCCGGCTCAGAAAAATACTGTTTTTGAGTAGGGTTGTTTCACCAGCAGTTACCTCTGTCCAGCTCTCAAAGGGAAAAACAAATCATTTAAATGGTAATAGTGAACACATATATATCATCCTTTGACATGTGAACAGTATATTTTTGGGGGCTGTTCAGGGATAGGAAAGAACTTGGAACCATATAAGGTGTCTTATCAGCATCTTTTGGCTTTGCCTGAACTGTACCTTACTTATTCCTTTACTTCACATGACCCTTCACATCCCACCTCTCCCATAAAATGTACTTTTTTATTTTTAGAAAGACTATAGTAGGCTATCTGAACTTTCACAGGCTCCAATTTGTCTTCATCTTGTTTGTCTTTCTGGAATGATTTCAGTCATAATCCAATTGCCAAAAGACAGGGCTTGCTACCTAAATTGGTTTCTTAGGCATGTGTGTGGGTGGGGAGAAAGAGCAGAAGATGATAGATGGCTTTGTCGGAACCCCGGGAACAATTGAAGTGGAGATCAGAAATGCCTGAGGGATCAACTGAAGTGAAATCTTTCAGGGGAATTGAATTTTGCAGAAAACACTAGCATATCCTCTCCTCCCGGCTCCCTGGTTCACAGCCCATAATTTTCTGTTTGTAACCTAGAGAGGTCTACATCTAAGCAGCACTAAATGATATTAAAAAAAAAAAAAGACATGGCATGCCTGAAGGTCAGTTCTAGTACAAACTCCGGTGGGACCATGCTACTATTTGATCTTTGGTCCCACCAGAGTTTGTATATGATCTCCCCATTAGTAATCCTGAACCCAATAATTATCTTCAAGATATTAGGACCCTATATTGTCTTTAATACATGGGATGCTTAATTTACCAAAATGGTTTTCTTTAAATGCCACAGGGTTAAGGTTGTTTGGGGTTTCTATGTCCTCTGAATTGATACAGTAATGAAACACGAGAAAAGGAAGAATAAAAAAGAGAAAGAAGGAGAGGGAAGGAAGGTTGGAAGGAAGAAGAAAAAAATGCCAAGAGGCGAGGTAAGAAAAAGATGGAGATTGATTGGAAATAAAGAAGACAGAAAATGAGAAACAATATTCACGAAAGCATAAACATGTGCTTACCTCAGGAACAAACTATGGGAGCATCTATTTTGTATTTTTCAGGATGACTGTGGTTAGAGATAATTACCAGAGAGTTTTTTTTTGCTATCTAATTAGGCAACCAAAAGATAAACAGAAGCATTCAAAATATCATATTATGATAAAGTGGAAAGATTTGTACTTCTATATTTTAATCTATTCTGGGAACAAAAAATAAATAATAATGCCTAAAATTCCCAATACCCAAAGGAAAACAACTAAGTTTACTTACACAAGTGATCGGGTCCTTTTAAGGTAAGGTGAATGTGTCTGCTTCCATAGGGAATGGCAACCACAGTGTCATCCACTAGAGAGAAACAAAGCAAGGTCTTAAAAGCACATAATTGGATACAAAATTACTGATGGTCTCCTATTAAGTCACAAACTTACATACCCCTACCACCCAACCCCCGCAAAATGACAATCTTTTTTTTTTTTTAAATCTTTGAAATGTGAACACCAATATTTGGGATTCAAATTTTATTTCCTCAAAATAAAATATGACAAAAAAGCTACTCACTAGGTCACTCATGTGGATATGACCTTTAAAAAATATATGATTTTTGATATATGAAAAAATGAATTTGCAAGTTTTCATTTCTAATTTTAAATCCTGGTCTTATATTGCCAATTTTCTCTAGATTAGCGCAACTGTGTTAAATTACAAAAGGAAAATAAATTCTAATGTTCCCAGAGTGACTTTATTATATCAAAATCTGGATTTCTCTCCAGGAAAGTAACTGTCTTGGATAAATACAACAGATTACAGAATAGGGGAAATAAATGTTTGTTTACATTCTTTTAGCCCCTCTAGGGCAGAAACCATGCCTTCCAGTTCTCCAATATCCTTTACTCTATCTGCATCCAATACTGAGTGTCCCATCAATGGTCATTCACATTTCCCCCACACACCCTCTCTGTAAGCCTTAATTATAGATAATTTAAAAATGGATTACTTTTTACAATGCTTGAAATTGAGCCTAAACTCATTGGAAGCAGTGCCAAATGCCAAAACCTACATTTTTTAAAAACTGAAGGTATAGTACATGCACTCCAAACACATCACTGGCCTTCTTATTTAGAACTTCACTTGTGACAACAATACCATATATTTACACAGCACTAAGGAGTTTCACTTTCACCTGAATTATACTACATATTCTTTCACTCAAAACTTGTTAATAGAGGCCAAGAAGATGCCACCATCCCCACTTTATGATGAAGAAATGAAGCCTCTGAGAAATATAATGAGTAGCTCAAGGTCAAAGAACAGAGGACAAGGACAGCAGGTATTTTAAACTTATCAGCACAGTCAGAAGCTCTGTGGGATCCTCTGTTTCAATATTATACATTAGTTTCAATAAAAGAAGCTCAAAAGATAGCCAATGTCTCTGAACTTCAACATATCATCTTGTCTTTGGGTTAATTTAATTTCAATAAATAAATAAATCTCAGAAGTTCCCTAACTTCTCTGATCCTTAGTTATTCTGTTTGTAAAACAGGGAAAACAACACTTACCTATAATGTTGTTGTGAATAGATAGATGATATAGATATAGATATATAGATATAGATATACAGGTGTATAGGCTGGAACACAGTATTTTGTGAATATAATTCCTTCCTCTCTATTCCAAATCCCCTAAAAACATGAACTGAAAGACTGTTTATTTTTATGTTTTTAAATGCCTCCAAGGCCCTACCACATAGCCAGCTGAATGGAAAGAATTACACGCCTTCAATCTCTTCCCCAAAGAGGTTACATTTATCAAGTTCTCTGCAATATTGAATATTCTATTCACAATACAACTTTCTAGTTATTTTTAATGTCATATATTGTTAAAGAAAAGACTGAATTTTAGATAGCTTAGGGTTTGTGGCTTAGAAGAACAAAACACATAAGGAGAATATAGAAAAGGAATAAAGAATGTTCAGACTGGGCCCACAGAGCTCTACACGCCTTGCATAAAGACATGGGTGTTTAAGTTTACAAAAGAAACTCAAAGCAGTTAAAACAATGGGATTTCTAGAAATAGAAAGTCTTTGTTTATCCACAGGTCAAGTAAAGTGCAAGCAAAAGAGAAGCTTTCTGTTGGCGGCAGTCTCCTGACCCACACACTGCTCAGGCGGCCTCCCTCTTGTTCTGCTGAGAAGTGACTCACATTCCACGTGCCGGGGCATCGGCCCAGCTTTAGGCTGATGCAGTAACCTTTGTATGCTCCCCGAGGAAGAGGCAGAGGAACCTCCCAGGCTGTTGGGGGAAGAAGGTAAGGTGGAGTGTAGACCAGGCAAGAATGAAATATCTGATCCCCTCTACTCTTCCCTGGTCAAAGAGAAATGTGGAGCAACTCAAAGGCTGGTGCAAACTTGAACTGTCAGCAGCACACAGCCCCAGAGACGGGAGAGTCACGGCCTAGTCTGTGGTTCCGTAAAGGGCTAACGGACAACTGGCAGGTTATCAGGCAACCAGCAAATTCATTACTGCAATGCACAAATGTCTGACGAACAAGACAAAGCAGCAGCCCTACAAGACAGTCCATGAAAAAGGGACCTAAAATTAAAAAATGTGTGGAAAATACCGTCCATGAAAAAGGGACCTAAAATTAAAAAATGTGTGGAAAATACCCACATTGATTAGTTTCTTAGGGGCCCTGAACCAAAGAAACCCATTTCACAGTGTGTGTAACCCACTCAGTGTGTCCCTCATGCGTTCATGCAAGGAAGCTTTTGCTTATGTCTTATCTGTTAACACCAGCTGATACATCTCAGAATACACTTTAATATATGATGTTCTTAATTTGATAAAAAGCAAAATGGAAAAAAAATTAATTTCATTTTCTGCATGTTAATAAAAAGCCAGTCATTGAGTTATTTATGTATTAATAATTGTCTCACTTGACAGTACATTCTCAATGATCAGGGATGGGTTGGGGGATTCTACTGTTTGGTACCTATGATAGTACTGTGCACAGAGAGGTGTGACATCTGAGAATGTGTGAGCAGTCAGTTTATCACCTGCCCCTCAGTGATAAATTGAATGGGTATGGCTGGTGAGCAGGCGGCTATATCCTCTCCTTGCACAACCCTGGGGGTGACCTTTCTTCCAAAGGCACACTGCTCTGTGATCAAGTGCATCTGCCCTAACCTAGTCTGACCCAACCATGATGCCGGTCTTCAGGACATTTTTCCAGGTTATTAAACAACAACTCTAAAAGACCTGCTTCAGAGATCAGGTAACCTCTTTCTCCATTAAATTGACAAGGTTTCCATGGGAATCACAAATGTTGTTATTTCACATACATGGGTTATAAATACCCTTTTCCAAGAAAATTGTTCTCAAGGATTGTACCTAAAAGATTTTGTCAAAAACAACAACAACTACAGTTATTGCCCTGGCCAGGTGGCTCAGTTGGTTGGAGCATCAGTCTATACCTCCAAAGGCTGCGTCAGGGCACATACTTAGGTTGTGGGTTCGATCCCTAATTGAGGAGCACACAGGAGGCAACCAATCAATGTTTTTCTCTCTCTCTCTAAATAAAAGCACACACACATATTCTTGGGATAGATTAAAAAAATTACAGCTAGCCCTGGCTCTTTTGGCTTAGTGGTTAGAGTGTCAGTCCATGGACTGAAGAGTCTTGGGTTCAATAAGTCAAGGGCAACTAATCAATGTGTCTCTCGTTCATGTTTCTCTCCCTCTCTCTCCCTCCTCCCTCTTTTTCACTCTCTATAGCAATCAATGGAAAAAATATCCTCTAGTCAGGATTAAAAACAAACGAATACACAGCTATATACATCTATATTCCACATCTTTCTGGAATTTTAGATTAATTTTTAATCTTTTCATATATGGATTTTTCTGTATAATTCATTGCTATATCAGAGAAAGGTGATAATAAAAATGATAAGTTTTGAAAAGAGGATTTCCTATTCTGATATCTGAGTTTATCTTATTTTTAGACCTGTTGATAAGTGCATGATTTTAAAAGCTCTTTGCTTTAAGCCTTTGGGGCTGATTCTCAATCTTATCATTATTATTTTTTTGTTGAAAGAGCCATTGTTAATAGAGTTGGCTACATATAGTCTGCCAGTCTTGAGGAGGTTTTAATGGTATATTTTTCATCTTCATGCCAACTTTATTACTCATAACATATACCCAATAAAACAAGATGAGCCCTTCATATCCCCCTGCCCCCTAGTTTATCAATGATTGCACAATGGAGGGTATATACTGGACAGGCCAAACAAGATGCTTCCTCCCCCTGGCCCTGTTTTTTCTAGATCAAAAACTTTGGAGCCATCCTTGATTTGATGCTTTCATCCAATCAGTTAGAAAGTCCTATTGTCACCAGAGTCAAAAATCCGTATTTCACAGATTCTACGATATTTCACATTTTAACCTACATGAAATCAGAATGTATCTCACAATCACTGGTGCCTTATATTCATTCTCCCCGAGGGAGGCAGTAATCCTGCCATATTTATCTTTGTCTGCACAGACACTAATATCAAAACAGCCAAAATCAAACTTGCAAAATGGGTGTCAGCTGCTTGGAAGAAAATTCCAATAGTAGAACACATTCATTTAACCTCTGAGAATCAAATGGTTAGGAGGGTGGTAGGGAGATGACGAATCAGAAGTGCTAAAGAACATCCTCAAAGTGGGAGTCAAAATCTGGATAGTTCTACATACATAATTGGAACGTGAATTAAGATCCCAGTACCAAGACTTGGGCTTTCTGCCAAATGGAGTGGTAGGGTCCAGGCTCAATCTCTTGTCTGAAACAGCCAAAAGGTCAGAAAAAAATATATGAAACCATGACTTTCAAGATACAGGATATCAAACAAGAAGGTCAGCGATTATTGAGAGTCAAGAAACAAAGTAGGTAAGCGTTAACATTACTTCACCTTACTGCCAAGAGAGACTTTCTAGGCGGTAGCTCAGGAAGTGGGCACTCACAGCCCATTGGATTCCCTGAGTTGAGGAGACAAAACTGAGAGTTCAAAATCAAGGCGGCTAGAGTCTGAAGGACAAATTACCAGAGAGAGAGAACTATACAGAGAAATGACTCAAGAGATTTAAGAGTGCTCCCTACAGATATCCAGCAGCACACTCACACCAATCAATCAGTATGTGCATGTGGAGAAACGACCTGAGGCCAGAAAAGAACCAGGCCGGTAAAGGAACTATAGGGTTGAGTACCTGCCACACATCTAGGGCCTGAATAGTGTCTTATCCCATCAGCTGGGCTATCATTGGACAGTGAGCACTGAGAAGGGTCTTGCCTCAACACCAGGGCACAATTGG